CACACACACACACACACACACACACACACACACTCACATACACACGCACATACATTCTCCTGTCTATTGATGGGGAGCGCCACCTGCTGGAAAGTGGGTCCAGCGTCCCATGAACATCGTGAATAAAGCACCAACCGGGACCCCACACACACATTCTCTTCGAGTTGTGTATAGCAAACATGACAAAACATACATACAGCATAATCACTACCTTACCCTTCCCGAACCACATAAACAAACGAACTACGGGCTGTGCATCCGTGCCCTCACAGTAAGTCAATATATTGTCAAAGATAGACCTGCCTTGTATGAGAGGGCAACTTGGTCCTTTGTGCTGCCCCTCTCTCTCTCTCTCTCAAAAAGAAGAAAAAGGGGGCATGTTTGCATGCTTGGAACTGTGAAGGACAGAAATAGCCCGGTCAGAATGTATCTGGGCCCTTGGACATGCATCTGGGTCCCTAGAGGTCCAGGTGCAGATGGTGCATTTGGGACCCTCCAGTTGGAATCTGAGGGTGCTAAATTTTGCATTTGCAATCCAGAGCGAGCTGTTTGTGTACTCTTCCCGCCCCACAACCCCCTCCCCCATAGCGCTACTGTGGGTTATCCCTGACACTGAGGCTTGTGCACACGTCTGCGGGTCGGAGGTACGCGACCTGTAGGACATGTCTTTTCGTCTCCATGGTTCCAATGGCGCTGAGAGATCGCCTAACAGTGGTCTTCTCGCACCATTACATTACTGACTTGACTGACTGTGGCTTTAATGGAGGTCAGATGCATTCACGATAATCCGAATGTGAGAACCCCGAACTCAAACCAGCTAATTCATCTCAAAGACCAAGATCAGCTTGCTGTGTGCCTGAAGAAGGCTTGGTATCCTTCTCGGCCGCACAGAAAACTCATCATCTGTGCTTCTGCTCTCCTATTTTCATCTCTCTCTCTCTCTCTCTCTCACACACACACACACACACACACACACATTTCGGAGAGGTAAGCGTAACACTGGGTCGTTCTCGACCATCTATCGCTCCTTCCGTCGCGCGTAATGCATCAAAGCGAAGTCAGCTTGAGACTGACAAACGGGCACGGACTCAAATCCACTCTATGCATGCCCTCTCGCTCCCCTCCGGCCGATAGGATCTTACCCCCTGCCTGGATACCCGACCCAAGGTAGGTGCAATATCAAATCCAAGTACTATTGCGAAAAAGTGAAAAATGAAAATACTATTGCACCAACCTTGGGTAGCGGCAATAGTACTCGGATTTGATATCTCATTTTTTATGATCCTGCCGATCAGAAATTCGAAATGGACCCGCGAATTTTGTGAAGGTAGGCACACCCCGAAGAACAGGAAGGAGTTGTTTCACTGAGCCTTCTTGACAAAGCGACTGGCGCGGCATGGTAGCTTGTGGTCCTGGGCGTCTAATTCGACGCCACGAGGAGAGCAGGTTTGCAGGATAGAATATGTGGGTAGATGGGCAGATAGGGGGCATACGAGGATAGAATAGGTGGGTAGATGGGCAGATAGGGGGCATACGGCACTTAGATAGATAGATAGATAGATAGATAGATAGATATGGTAAACGAATCGATACAGAGGTAGCATTGAGTGGTAACACGACAGAGAGATATAGATAGGACAGGTGTATAGATAGATAGATAGTTAGATAGATAGATAGACAGATAGATAAAAAAAATGAATGGGTGAAATGAACATGTACATATCGGGACATATATAGGTAGATAGGGTAGTCGGGGCTAACGCGCACGAGTGTATGTATGTGAGTGAGTAAGCTTGTGTGTGTGTGTGTGTGTGTGTGTGTGTGTGTGTGTGTGTGTGTGTGTGTGAGAGAGAGAGAGAGAGAGAGAGAGAGAGGGAGCGGGCGCAGGTAAACCGTAAAATTTCAGTCTTTATCAGTACACCCTGCGCGCGCGCGTCTGTGGTTCTGTGTTTGTGTGTACGCGCGCCACACACACACACACCTGCACGGACAAACACGCACGCACACACACACACAAACACACACACACACACACACA